AACATTTATTGTGAGTACTGTATTGCTACAAAGAAGCACTTTAGATTGAAATTTTGTACATAAACACATTTTCCTCTCGTGTCGTTTTTTACGTTCCTGCCTTAACCCGTCCTACATTACTACTTTAGATTCTACATTCCTTTAAAATGTAAATGTTCTAAATTCCTTAAAATCCTACAACTTTAGATCCTACATTCCTTTAAAAAAATGCATGTTTTAGTACGCTCTACCACCCCTCCAAGTTTGTCCCATGATCTATGAAACACCCCGCCAAAGCATTTCCTTGCCCGCAGTTTATATCCAAAATCATAATATCCTCTAATTGTTTTGAGCATTTTATATTAGGAATGTAATAGTAATAGCTAACTAGCTGCTGTATGTTGATTTCCTTTTCTTCAGTTATGATATTAAATCTAGCAAAATATACCATTTGAAGATTTTTGATTTCGAATTAATGTTTATAGGTTCGGCGAATGAACATTTTAATCGGTTTCATGGCACTGAAATTTGTATTCAGTGATGATAATTTATACAGTTTTGTAACGTCTAGTGTTCTGAAACATTCTTGATCTTGTCCGAGATTTCAATGCATATTGTAACTATTATAACTTAAATAATGTCAATATTCCGACTGAAACAGTTTACAAATATGAGTGAAAAAAAATTTACAGCGTGACACAGCCAATAGTAATAAAATATGTCATGTCAAAGCATAAGAATCAACATTATTATTTGTGAGCCTAGAAAATTAAGCACAACAGCCATAGACCATTTTGGAGCGGAATGTAAAAAATATATATACAAAAAGGAACAAAAAAAAAAAAAAAAAAGCTTTGTTGCAAATGGTCATAACATAAATCAATTTCAGACGTTGGATGGGAGTGAGATCACTTTCTTTTTATGAAACTTTTTATACTCGCTAATGTTTTAATTTTCAGGAAACACTTAAAATGCTGCCATACCACGGAAGCTGATTTCAGATTATATGGCACAATACATTTATGTTCCCAAATCATAACAGCAAAATGTTTACTTGTGAAATGAAAAGAAAAAAGGGTCAAATGGAGATGTTCGTAAATACTATTCGCAGCAAGTTATTAGTGGAATACTTCTGTTTGAATCACTGCTTCTAAACAATCATTACATTGATGTTTGAAGATTATTAAAATTAATTGGTTTAGAAATATTTAAAGCGTAACTATACATTATTAAAACTTTACCTTTCTAAATTCATAAATTACATATCACAGGTATAAATGTTCTCTCTACCTTACGTACCTGTGCACTACAAAGTTGAATCGCATGCATTAATTATAAAAAGTTAATGATAATAATAAAATTCTATAGGAATTTCTTCTTGTTGCTAATGCTTACTTGTCTGACCTGTGGTCAGCCCAAGCCCACGAAGTTTCCCATGGCAAGAAGCGCAAGTTTTACACCTATCATTGGCAACAGCCTTGAGCACCTTAGAGGTGGCAGTGCGATTTAGCTCATTCCGCCCCCAATTCTGATGGAGAATACCCCGGAAATACTACCAAAATGACCACCGACACTAGGACTTAACGAGTCTCTCAGTGCAATTATTAAATTGGCAATGTCTCCAAAAGGTTACAGTGTCACATATACATACAATTTTACGTAGATATTTTTACATATAATACTATACATTTTCGATGTTAGGATGTTAAATACAGCTATTTGCTATGACTTATTTAGCAGTTAAATTTCCTATTTGTTGGAAATTACTAAAGATTCAGACAGGTTCGAGGGATCTCCCACCCCTCTTTTCCTACCACTAATGTCTCGAGAGTACTTTCGACTCGCCGCATATTTAGAGTGTTCCCATGCCGCATGGACACCATATATTTACAAACATTCACGCCTTCTCCGAGATTCGAACCCAGACCCTACAGTACGGCAGTCAGCGACCCTACCCCCTACACCGTTCGGTAGACTTAGTGATTTATAGATCGCTGATTATGCTTTCTTTAATTAAATGGTAAATAACTAGTTTCATTAGGGGGTAACAGTCATAAAGCCTTTGTATGTTGTACTACTGGTTAGCGTTTCAACAGAATTCAGTTCTTAGAATTTGGAACCTGCTTAATTCCTATTTAATTTATGTAATGTATTTATGTATATAATTTATGTAGTGTGCTGGAACACTCCTGGCCGGTAATAATCGGCCTCATGGTGAAAGCGGCACACCAAAGCAGATTAAAACAAAAATTTAATTTATGTATCACACTTTAGACTGAATAAATACATATATGAAGTTGATGAAGACCTTACTTCAAAAATGAATTATTTGCTTATTTGCATAACAAACAGAGAACCGAAATCGTTTTTATGCTCGATCGATAGCGTAAGATATTTAATCGAAAAGAAAAGCGGCGACCGGAACTGCGTTTCCCTAGATCTTTGCCTTTTCTCTACTCCTGGATTCTTATCTTCAGCGGAACTTTGAATGTGGGCCTATCTGAATGAGAGAGAGTATAGGGATAACTGGAGAGCTGTGGCCATGCATTTGAAGAACATGCAAGGGTACTTTTGCGATGTTTGGCTTCCAAATCTAACTTAAAAATTATTTTGTTAATATGTATACTACATACTTGGACCTTCTGCCTGTTTATCAGGAATAGTTAATTAACATTACAGTATTTCTTGGGGTTTTCTGTTGGTGTCATATATTGGTTTTGGTTCGGTATAAAGAAAAACCTCGAGGGCTATTTGCCTTAGGGGAGGGATGCTTTCGTGGAGGACTTTCTAAAGGAATACAGGTTACACATGGTGAAAACCACGAAAACGTCCATGCGGCCAGCCCGTTCGCGGGATTCGAAACTTTGAACGAACTACCAGTGCTCAGGGACATTACCGCTCGACCGCCGGTGAGCTCGTTATACATTGGGATCTTGCTGAATGCTGGAAGAATTTCCACCCTGCAGAATGTAAAAAATGCTTTCACTGCATGTTGTATGACATGTGTAGCCACATTACAGGCATAATATCCTGAATTAAAAGTGTTATGTTTTATTCTACGTAATCCATGATTCCTTTTAGATAATTTCAAACGGAAAAATAAAGGCCTGAAAGCTTTCAGATTTTATATTACGCCCATAAGGGAGTTTTTTTTTTTAACGTTTTGTGTGTTACCTTTATTAATTAAATTTCATGTTTTTTGCACTTAAAACACACAAAACTCAATTTAGCAGCAAAATCACAAAATATTTAAAAACCACAAAACAGCATATCTTTAGAATTTCCATACACAGTCTCGCGCGCTGGAGATAAAAATATTTTTTTTTGTTTTGTTTTTTGTTCGTACAGTGTTGCCATTGCTCCCTTTGAAATCGTTGATTTGCTAATAAGAAGTTTCACAAAATTTGAAATAGACAACAAAGCAAATTCAAAATTCAAAATTCGGGCTTTTAAGTGCCCATGTTAAGTTGAAGGGCTACGTTATTCAGAATTGGATGGCTCTAGGTACCATTGTTTTTTCACAATGCGAGAAACATCCATTCATTTATGCAGATTCTTCATTATTTAGTTTCTTTAAATATAATACAGGGCGATAATATTCGGTAGCAACAGTTTGAAAAGTGAATCAATGCAAAATGCCAATTCAAACTTAATAGTCCTTCTGGGCTAACGCCCTATGGGCTAAAAATACAAAGTCTGCAAAAGTACAAATTAAAATGTGTAGGTCTAGTATAATGCACTTTGCATTTTAAACCTTCCACTGAACATGAAAAAATAATCGGTCGCACAAGCTATGCAAATGCCTATTTTCAAAGCTACGGATTCTGGATTTTACGAGCATTCATAAATTTCTAATCATTTATATGAAAATTTTTGGAATTTTCAAACTGCATCTATAACGGATTATAATTATCAAGCTTGAAGGTGCTAATCTAAATGATCAAATAATAGCTCCCTTTTTAAGATCAAAAATATAAAATGTCTAAGAAACACTTAAAAATTAATACTTTTTCTAAAATTGCAAAAACAGACCATTGAAACTGTTCCCTCCAAATATTATCGCCATGTATTATATTTAAAGAAACTATAAATAATGAAGAATCTGCATGAAATCATAAAAGTTTCTCGCATTTTGAAGAAATAATGTTACCTAGAGCCATCAAAGTTTCAGTAACGTAGTCCTCTAACCAAGCACGAGCACTTCGAAACCCGATTTCGAATTTGTTTTATTATCTGTTTCAAATTTTGTAAACCTTTAACGAATTTTTGATTAAGAAACTCAACGATTTTAAAGCGAGCAATGGCAACACAGTACAGAAAAAAAAAAAAAAAAAAGTCTCCATCGCGCGAGACTGTGTGTCGGAAATTCTAAAGATATGTTGTTTTTAAATATTTTGTGATATTGCTGTTGAATTTAATTTTATGTGTTTTAAGAGCGAAGAACATGATATTTAATAAATAAAGATAACATACAAAAAGTTAAGAAAACGCCCTTTTGTTCGTCATATAAAATCTGAAAGCATTCAAATTTTTTTTAAAAATTAATTTCCATTTTTTTATCGTTATAAAGAACATGAGAAAAACAGCTATATTTATTATTTATTCGGAAACTTTTACTATTTTCCTTTCAACATAAGTTCTTTCACTATATAGGATAACTGAAATTTCAAAACAGCACTCAAAAATTTGAATTCTTTTAATTCTAAATTAGCTATTGAGGAAAGCATGTAGCACGAATCAGCTTTAAATCGTCGTTCTTTTCCCAGAACATTGTTTTTGGAACATGGATAAGAACTTCAGTTTCCCTAAGATAAGCAGATTATTCTTACTCTTATAATGTGCCCATTGTGACAGTTTGATGCTGAAATTAGTTCCCAAAACACAAAATTTATTTTTCTGTTTAATATGCATTCCCGAATTTTGGCGAAACAATTGGCGAGAAATCAGTATCTTGGCAACCCGAAGATCCAAGCATACGCGTTCTCCCGAAAGCTGGATGCAAAGCCGGTTTTCTTCGAACTGTAACTGTTGTTTGTAGGGCTTCACTACTGACAGATGTGTACAGTTTAGCTATTAATATCCACCAAATAACTTTGCAATTGCTTAATCACGCGATTTAACTTTTATTTCTTTTTATCACGTTTAAAAGAGAACATTTTACTCCTCAAATCCCAGATAATTATGTTATAAATATATTCAGATGTGATTTATTTGGCTTTGCGTTTTTCATAAGAGTAAATTCGTAAATAACCTTAAAACGAAATAAAATTCGGAAGTGTTTGATAAGTAGATACATAGAAGAAACACACGACTAATACGTGAGGAAAATTTGCAGATTCATTTTTAAAATACATGCAGGCAAAAGTGTCTCCACAAACTGATGAGGAAGAAGCAATGCCGCAAGAAAAAGGAACGAAACATGTTGAAATACGCCATTTCGGAGGTATGTCAACATATATAATTTAAACTTTAATGTCTAATGTAATCTCGATGCATATTTCACTTTACCATTGCACTTTTAATTGACGCATGAAACTGCTATTTAATTTATTAGAAAGCTTAATGATTATGTATGCTTTGATTGTAAGATTATAATTTAAACAAGAAGTACGCTTTTAATTTATGTGATATGTGTAAAATTTATTATAATTTTAAATATTGTAACTATTGTAGCTTCTTTTTAAACGAAGCATATTCACAATACTCTGATTCCCGTCGTTAAAGTAAAATCGAGTTTAATTTCTTTTTATTATTTCATAGCTTGCGAATATTCTAAATTTTTATTATTTTAATAGTTCTGCACTAGTATTTTCGTACTTGTATATATGATTTTTGAATGAAATTTGTATTCACCAACATCAGAGTTTTAATAATAATTTTTCAAAGTGTATAGGAAAGCACATAAAATGGAAAGAATAATATAAGAAAGAAAAGTCTAAGAAACCAAATGTGCTTCACAGAACACAAAAGACGGTTAAAAATAGAAGAATTCAATTATCCTTATTATTCTATATACATGTCTTAATACTTTCCTGTAAAATTTTCTCCTAACTATGTATTACAGAAATGCTCTCATACACAAAAATCTTTTTCTGCAGAAATTTGTTTTACATGTAGTGTTTCATATACTACGTGTATAAGACTGGTACTATTAAATACGTTTTCTTGCTTAGATTAGATTTATTCTGTAGGGAAGGAGTTTTTAATTTTCAGGGTTCTGATAATATTTATATTATTAATTCAGTGCCCCAGATAATTTTAAGCTTACAGAAACAATAAATCTGTCCGAAAAAATGTATTATTATAAAAAGGCTATACTTCCTCTCGACAGAGTAAGAGTCTGAAGAAAATAATGTATCTTTTTTCACTTTTTGGTAATTTCTACAGCTACATTTTAATTTACATAGTTTGGCATATATTATTTTAACTCCATTCTTAAATTTTAATTAAAAAATTTAGTTTTTGAAAAATTTTAATTTTTAAAATTATCTTAGTTAACTCTATTTATAGTTTGCTGTGCTCTCAATTTGTTCAATTAATAATATAATGTTTAATTTTTTTTCTTGCCTTTCTTTTGCCTGTTCAGTTTTTAATTTGAACTTAATTGATATAGCTGTATATATATATATATTATATATATATATATATATCTGTATCTATCTTCTATCTATATATTTATAAATATTTCCCAAATATTAGCATTTATGAAAGCCAGAGGAATAATTTCTCCGCGTGTTTTTCCCGGAAGCATAACTATTCATATAATACAAAATTAATGAAGAAAGGGCTATCAGATTTTTTTATCCTCATCTTGGAAAATGAAGATTTTTTCATTTGTTATTACATACATCAGTTATAAAACATAAGTTATAAACTTTCCTTATTACTTATATTAGTTATACCTTCTTACCTATCAGTATTTCCTTTTACTTACTTGTTATTTCTTATAACATTTATACATGCCAACTGTTCTGGGAAAAAATATTTCAATAATACAGATTAGATAAATAAATACTACTTAATAATTTTGTAATTTAATAAATAATTGATATTTTCATGTTATTTAAACAAAAGGACTCTTAAGCTGAAAATCAAATTAGTAGAATTTGTTATAATAATGCCGATTACATTATTTACGTTCCTGCCGAAGTTAATTTGCGTATATATTTATTGTGTATTAAAATTAGCATTTTGGAATTTTTCTAAAAGAGCAGTTGTTATAAATATAAATAAGCTAACTAAGATAAAACCCAGTAGGAGGGGGGCTGCCATGGGATGAGAATATGTTAAAACAGTTGGTATAAATCTTTTCTGCTGGGAAAAGCAATTAGAGTGAAGACAGGTATAACAAGTAACTTTCATACTTCCTTCATAGGTTTATATTTATTGTGTTCAAGAATACAAGAGATTTTCATCAAATTATAGTTGTGTATTATATGTTTCATCTTCAAAATATAGAAACACGGTACAAGAAGAAATGGTAATATGTGTGAGTAAATACGGGATATGTAGAATAAATTGAAAGTTTAGAAAAAGTGTGTATGAGAGAGAGAGCTAAACTTCAAACTAAAGATAAACTTTAAGCAGAAGACCAATAGCCCAATTATGTTCAAAATAAAAATGAAAGCTGTTAAATTTTTATTAGCTAGTTGTGCATTTGTTTTCAGGAAGAAAATATTTAAATTGATAATTAATTCGTTAAATATGTAAGGTTTATCTTAAGTTTTTAACAGTTATCTTTAGTTAAAGCTACCTTCCTGTCTCTCCTAGTTTCAGCTTACAGTTTTCTAACAGAATGTGTTTTTAGATTCGCGGTTAATGCAAATGCGTAAGAGAGGTATTTAAATCGAAGTTCCACTGACTTTGTGAGAGAGCCAGAGATTCTGACCAGCGCGCGTTTGCGTTTTGGCTACACTCTCTCTAAGCTATTACTACGCTCGGCTGTATTTCAGGCCCTTGATAGCTTTGCCAGTATAGTTGATATAGAATTTTGATAGATTTATATATATTTTTAGTTAAGTTTTATTTCTTGGTACTCTTGAGTTTAAGCCCAAGTGGAGGATTTGCTGTACTCTCTGAGAAAGGAGTCGACTGTTAAATTCTTATTTTGATAAATAAATGGTAATTATCCCTTCTGGAGTTTACGCCTCTGTTCCTGAACTAAAGCGAATATTCGATTACCAGTTCACGAGGTTCCCACGCTTTTTGCTGTTAGATAAAGGTTGGAACCCCACAAATATCTGGCACTAATTTTCAGTTACTACTGATATGATAAAACTGGCAGATAAAATCAGTTTACTAATAATTTACCGGTATTCCTGGAAACAGGTTTTGTTAAATATAAAATAAATGATGAAAATTTCGCGCTTTACTTAAAAGTTATTAGGACACATTACCACACATTTTTGTAATGCAAAAATGTGTGGAAATTAATTTTATTTTATAACATAAAATGTAAAATTATATAGCATGCATTTAACTGTACTAGAGCCATCAAATTTTGAATAATGTACGTCTCCACCCGAATATGGACATCTGGAAGCCTAAATTTGTAATTTCTTTAATTATCTATTTAATATTTTGTAAAACACTTATGAGTTTTTGATTAAGAAACTCAACGATTTCAAAGCGAGAAATGGCAACACTGTACGAAAAAAAAAAAAAACATTTTTATCTCCAGCGCGCGAGGCTGTGTATCGAAAATTCTAAAGATATGCTCTTTTAAATATTTTGTGATATTGCTGTTGAATTTAATTTTATGATTTAAGTGCGAAGAACATGATCTTTAATAAATAAAGGTAACACACAAAACGTTAAAAAAGTCTCTTTGGACGTAATATATAATCAGATAGCTTTCAGATTTTTTTATTCATGAACTCTTTTTTAAAAAGTAGAAACTTAAAAAACATTGTTTATGAACTCTTTTTTAAAAAGTAGAAACTTAAAAAACATTGTTTGTACAAACTATGACTTAACTGAGAATCTACCTTTTTGTATGAAAATACGTCAACTGACGAGAAAAATGTTTCAGGTACAGAACTTGTTGTTTGGAAGTTGTTAGAAAATTAAACGCTGTTTTAATATACTATTTTCACATTATTTTCTTTCTAAATTGCTCCATTTCATTTTGGAAATGAGCTCATTCCTCAAGGGATACAAAAGTTTGGTCTTTATTAGGAAGAGAACTTTTTTTTCATCGATAACATAGCAGACCTGTGGAGTTCGGTCTAGAAATCATTCCACAGCAAACCATAATTTTTTGAAACAGTGGGTTGTCATAAAGTATTGTGTTTTATTATTTACTCACTGTATTATATTTTAGTATGTATTACTTATTTAACTGACGGAAAAAAAAAATATGTACGTATTTTTAAGGTACAGTCAGTGAAAAATACCATATTTTAAAAATCATAGTTAATGAAAGAACATTTATTTTTTATTTTAATGAAAGGAATGAAGAAAATCTACAAAAACAAAATCTGAAGTGTTTCATATTTTAAATTACGTTCAAAGGGGCGTTTTTATAGCATTTTGTGTATTACCTTTATTTCTTGAATATCATGTTCTTCGCACTTAAACCATAAAATTCAGTTCAAGAGCAATATCGCAAAAACATTTTAAACACAGCATATCCTTAGAATTTTCGATATACAGTCTCTCGCGCTGAAGATAAAAATATTTTTTCTGAACAACGTTGCCATTGCTCGCTTTGAAATCCTTCAGTTTATTAATAAAAAATTCGTTAAAGTTTTTCAAAATATAAAATCTATAATAAAATAAATTCCAAATTTCAAATTTGGGTTTCCAGATGCCCATATTCGCAGTAGGATAAGGTCATTGTCTTCATTACTTAAGTTCTTCATATATAATACAGCGCGATAATACTGTGGCAACAGTTTGAAAAGTGAAACGCACATGCAGAGTGATTCGACGCAAAATCGCAAAACGAGAACAATAGTCCCTCAGGAACAAAGCCCCTTTGGACTTTAAAAATCAATTTTTCCTATATATATATATATTCTTTTTGTTTTAGATAAGTAATTTTTTAAATATGATGTTAAATATTTTTATTTTCGTTAAATAATTATGATGTTTTTAACTATTAATCTCCTATTCTTAGTGCCCTTCGTGAAGCTTTCCAATAGTACTGAATTCATAACTTTTAAAGGAGAACGTTTCATAAAACTAAACGCTTATTTCAGATTTATGAAGCGTTCTTCATGGATTAATTATCACATTCAAGATTATTTATAAAATCGCTGATTGCACTTGTTTTCTAATCGTACTCCAATTTCTTATTAAATGAAAATTATTTACCATGATTATTCTTAATTTTCCAAGACATTAGGTTTTAACTATTTCCTAAGGCATTCATTTCATTACCAAGGTGCTTCTGGCCCAAATTCAATATTTTACTTCATTCTCTTATATTCTGTTTTTGGT